TGTCTCTCACATATTTGTTTAGAGCTGTTTAAACGCTGCTTGATCTGTGCAGATTTTTCTCCTGATTCACACCAGAACACTTTCTCACGTTATTATGGATTATGGACTCGTATTTGAGTTAAAAACGTCTTAATGCTGGATTAGTTTCAGCTTCTGTCTTCTCCAGATGTTAACTGATGGACTGGAGTGCTGTGATGTTTTTATCAGCTCTCGTTCTGACGGCACCCATTCACTTGCAGTGAGCAAGTGATGCAATGCTACATTTCTCCAAATCTGACGAAGAAACAAACTCGGATGGCCTGATTCCCTTAAGCTAGTGAAGCATAAATGCCTCAGAAACTCTGACCCGTCTCTGCGAGCTCCTTGCAGGGACTCCTGGACTCGCGGCAGCAGCGTGACGAGACACGCGTTGCTCATGTGCTGGATCTCCATCATCTTCTGCTGGTGCGTCAGTCCGTTCATATGGCTCTGGAAACTCTGCACACGCAAGATTTCAACTTTACATTTATGCACAAGATGAACAAAAGCACTAGTCAGATTGCAAGATTAACCAATGAGTGCATTTGCGTGCAAAACTCTCACACCAGTTATGCTGCTAATATGTGACCCTGGAGCACAAAAGCAGTGTTAAGTCGCTGGGGTATATTTGTAGCAATAGTCAACAATACATTGTATGGGTCAAAATTATATATATTTTTTTATGCCAAAAATCATTAGGATATTAAGATCATGTTCCATGAAGATATTTTGTAAATCTCTTACTGTAAATATATCAAAAGTTAATTTCTGATTAGTAATATGCATTGCTAAGAACTTCATTTGAACAACTTTAAAGATGATTTTCTCAATATTTAGATTTTTTTGCATCCTCAGATTCCAGATTTTCAAATATTGTCTGATCCTAACAAACCATACATCAGTGGAAAGATTATTAATTCAGCTTTCAGATGATGTGGTCAAAACCCTTATGACTGATTTCATGCTCCAGGGTCACATATATCAGCTCATGCAAACAATTAAAGCCGAGCGATTTCAGAGGAACACACTTGCTGGTTATGGCAAGTGATGTTGCAAATATAGCAGAAGAACTTGTTGGAGGTCTCTGCCGCTGCGTCTCTGAGCTCCTCAGGAGTGTCTGCGGTCTCCTTGATCTCAGGGACCGAATCAGAGCCTGCGGCGGCGGCGTCTGGACCCTCTCTGATGCCTTCATCTGGAGCTTCAGTGCTTTCAACCTGCTGAAGATCAACAAACGAGACGCATTTGAACTCAAGTGAGTAGACACAGCTCAAGTCCATCCTGGGATTACTTCACCAGCGTCTCTGATCACTTGGATCATACAGATGGCACAAACCTCGGCCGCTTGACTCGGTTCGTCTGCTTCAGCGGCCAGCGGCTCATCCTCCTGCAGAGTGAGCTCTGAAACACAGGAGTGAGTCCACCCTCATTAATCACACACAACCACACGCTCATCCATCTAGAAACGCATTTACACCTCAAAGCACAACATGGTTTCCAGAGACGGGCCGACGATCACAGCCAATCAGAGCATGATATTATTACACAGTTACATATATACACATACATACACTCTACCAGTCAAAAGTTTTTGAACAGTAAGATTTGTAATGTTTTTTAGAGAATTCTCTTCTGCTCACCAAAATACAAAAAAAAGCAGTAAAATTGTGAAATATTTTTACTATTTAAAACAGCTGTTTTCTATGTGAATATGTATTAAACTGTAATGTATTTCTGTGATGTGCAGCTGTATTTTCAGCATCATTACTCCAGTCTTCAGTGTCACATGATCTTCAGAAATCATTCTAATATGCTAATTTGCTGCTCAAGAAACATTTCTGATTATTATCAATGTTAGAAACAGTTGAGTACATTTTTTTCAGGATTCTTTGATGAATAGAAACTTTAAAAGAACAGCACTGATTTGAAGTTAATAAATGAAGTAATTAAAGTATTACTTTTTTCTATTTGTCCCTAATATATATTTATTTAGTTTTATAATTACTTATTTATAATAGCTGGACTCTATTTCACACACTCGTCGGTTTCTCAGGAAGTTCGGGGTTTGGCTGGATTGTTAGTGGCATCCTGTCTGAGTGTTGAGTTGAGTTCAGTGACGGCTCATTACTGGATATAGCAGATTTAATTGGATCCGGGGTGTGCTGGTGCAGACTGATGGTGATGCAGCTCTTTCTCTTTGTCTCTCAGGTCATTAACTTCTCGCCCAAAACGATCGCGGTGTTCATCGGCGTGGTGGGAATCCTCTCAATCCTGGCGCAGGTATTTAATTGAGGCAATATTCTTGGCTCTGCCTTATTACTCGTGTCGTTGAGCCGGCGAGCCGTCTCGTGAAAGTGGCTCTCGCAAACGCTTTCTAATTGAATTGAATTCCTTTAAAAGTTCGG